GCTTACGTTCCAAGAGCATCGCTTTTGTTATTCGACCATTGGGTTCGAAGAACGTTTCGTGGTAGGCCTATAGGAATGCCGGGACGGTCGGTCCCTGCTCGAGAAACACCCTGCTGGCCTCCTGGGTGCCCCGGGTTTCTTGGGCTTCGACGGTTCTGCTATGGAAGGCGTGACGCTCCCGCACCCACAATCAGAAGACGCCCCCGGGGTCTCTGCAGGGTTGGGTTTCTTGCGGGACGCTTCTTCTTGTGGTCGAGCTCCTACTGCATCGGGGGCGGAAAAGAGGGGGGTGATGACTAGGGGGGGGGGATATCCTGGCGGGGGCCATGATCTTTCCCCAGCTCTCATGGCGCCTCTTCTTGTTTCATTACGTCCCTGGCCCCCCCGCTGGGCCGCGCACATGCCGCCGGTCATGATTTGCACCCCTCCTCTTGGACACCCACCTCTTGGCCGCTCCCGACTGTAGGATCAGGGGGGGGCTTCAACGACCCCCCGATCTGCCCACCCATCGCCCATCGCCGACAGGCCTGACGGCCCGCGCCGCCCAGGAGCGTGCGGTTTCGCCAGCGGGGGCCTTCGGCGCACCGCCGCTTCGAGGTCGACGTCTCCCCCCCGGAGCCAGGCCCCTCGGGGTTCCCCCTCGAGAGTGCCTCCAAGATCCTTCCGAGAGGAGAGGGCTGCTGCAGTCGCCCCAGGTGGCCCCAGAAAGGCCCAGGATGGCTTCCAGACAGCCCAGCAGGCATCCAAGATGGCCCACGAGGGTTCCACGAGCCTCCCCCCCCCCCAAGCTGGCCTGAAGAGCCCCAAGCCAGAAGTAGACCCGGGTTTGGGAGCTGCTTCGCGGGAGGACGGGGAGGTGGGGGAGGGGGGAGAGGAGGCAAAAGACGGCCGCTAGGATGCGAGGCAAGTGTGCCGACGTTGACCACTTGCGCCTCGTCCTTGCCAAACCCTTGCTGCCCGCTGCTTGCTGGGAGCCGCCAGGGAGACGAGTGCTCGGCCATGTTCTGGATGCGCGCGGCCTTGCAGGTGGGCCAGGGATGGGACGGCGGGAGTGGTGGGGCACCCCAGAGCCATCGCATAAGGAGACCATGCGCACGAGCCGCGCTTCAATGTGCAATCCAGTACGCACTATACTTGACATGTGCATGCATACCCTGCGCATGAATGCGTGCATGCGTACTTGTGCGTACATGCGTATACGTGCACGCAGCTGGATACGCGAACGTACTTACAATGCACGAGCATGAACATGTAAACGCTCGTGGATTTGTATCTAAAGGCCGTCGGCCCATCCCGCAACTGTGCCTTGGTCTGTAGGTCAGAGGCCTCTGGGATGCCCGTGGGGGTCTCCCGGGAAGCTTCCCCGTCTCTGTGATTCGGTCTTGGAGTGCCTTGGGGGGCCTCTCTGGGGTCTCTCGGGGGGCCTGCTGGGCTTGTTTTAAGCATTTTTACCTAACAGCGTAGACTGATAGGTTTCTAGTTGACTCAAAAGAGCTCACAGATCACTCCACAGGGGGGTCCGGGCAGGCGTTGGGAGTTGCCGGCCGGGCCTGTGCCGGGCTCGTTTTTCACCAACAGTCACACACTTCGTGCTCGTCGACCTCTCAGAACCCCATTCCCAGGCCACATTCTGAATAACCGGATGCAACAGTCACACACTTCGTGCTCTTCGACTTCCCAGAACTCCATTCCCGGGCCACATTTTGGATGCCCGGAGCCAACTGTAGGCCACTTCGTGCTCTTCGACTTCCCAGAACTCCATTCCCGGGCCACATTTTGGATGCCCGGAGCCAACTGTAGGCCACTTCGTGCTCTTCGATTTCCCAGAACTCCATTCCCGGGCCAGCCAATTTTGGATGCCCGGAGCCAACTGTAGGCCACTTCGTGTAGTTCCCAGAACTCCATTCCCGGGCCACATTTTGAATGCTGAGGCAGGCTGATGCTGAGGCTGAGGCAGGCTGAGGCTGAGGCAGGCTGAGGCTGAGGCCGAGGCTGAAGGCAGACTGAGGCTGAGGCTGAAGCAGAGGCTGAGGCTGAGGCTGAGGCAGGCTGAGGCTGAGGCTGAGGCAGGCTGATGCTGAGGCAGGCTGAGGCTGAGGCTGAGGCTGAGGCAGGCTGAGGCTGAGGCTGAGGCTGATGCAGGCTGAGGCTGAGGCAGCCTGAGGCTGCCGAGGCTGAAGGCAGACTGAGGCTGAGGCTGAAGCAGGCTGAGGCTGAGGCTGAGGCAGGCTGAGGCTGAGGCAGGCTGAGGCTGAGGCTGAGGCAGGCTGAGGCTGAGGCTGTGACTGTGACTGCCGTTGCCACTGCGACTGTCATCCCGAATGCGACTACGACTGCGAGAACAGCAGAATTCTACAACTGGATTCTCATCTGAATCTTAAGGGGAATGCTTCCAGATATGCTCCTACATATCGCTGTTAGGTTGCTTTGCCGGGATAATTTGGAGGGGTTCTGGAGCTTATTGTGGGCCGCCTGTTGGCGCTCGGGGGCCATCTTTGGG